CGGACCGGGCTGGTGATGGACCGAATTGGTGGTGGACCAGGCTGGTGATGGTCCGGGCTAGGACCGGGGTAGTGATGGACCAACCGGTGAAAGACGGGGCTGGTGATGGTCCGCCCTGATGTTGGACCGTACTAGGGACAGGCTGAAGACGTTCTAGGCTGGGTGTATTCGCTGACGAACGGGGCTATACAGAAATCACAGAATGATCGTGATTCGTTCTCCACCCCATTTACGTCCAACTGTTTGCCGAGGAATGCAGGAAAGATCCTAGACGTGGAGAAGGGGCAAAAATGCCTGTTCCAGATCGGTGTTCCAGGTCGGGTCATTCGCATGCATTACAACAAGGTTGATGTTATACTTTTATAACAAGAAGGACCTTCACTCCTGTCCCGACTTCTCCGAGAGCGACAGACCTCTGAGGCATGTCCTGACTCTAAAGAACCGCGCAGCACACGGGGGGGGGGGGGGGGGCACGCGTTCAGGTCTAGGCCTTGCATCGAACAGTTCCATAGGCTCGTTACTGGATAGAGTCCAGTCCTGCGCTGGTGCCGCGCCACATCGTCAGCGAGGATGACATGATAATGTTTTCGTCTCCAGTGCGCTGTCTGTTCGTTGTCTTTTCTTTGTTGTCTGCAGCACGGCAGCAGAGCCTCTGTAATACAGGCGGCGGCAGGGGTAACGGGTGGCACTGCAGCGTGGCGCCCTAAACGTTAGCACTGCGGGTCCGCAGGACGGCAAACGACTGAGGCTGAGACACACCACGGACATGGCGGATGGGTTAAATAGACATCACTGCAGACACTGGTAGGACACTCCTGAGTCTTCTTGTTTAGGTCCAAATGATAGTTTTACTTCGTTTGCTTCCATACAGTGCAACGTGGCTATTGCGGGCATTTGCCAAATCGCTGTCGCGGGTGAGGTTCCCAGCCTCCTCACACACCTCAGCGATACTAGCTCGCCAAACGCTTCGATCTCCAGCAGCCCGAGGCCCAGAGCTTCCGTCGCGTGGCTGCGGCGTCGTCCCGGCCGCCGCGGCAGCCGCACAGATGACGGCGAGACCGTGCCCACAGCACCCTGTTTATCCCTCGAGTGAAGCCATTATTACACCGGCTCCAACAACGGCTTCCCGCTTGCTATTCGCGGCGGCGTGCGTCCGGCTGGGCCGCGTGCGTCCCCGCTGACCCGCCGGCCTGGGGACTGCGGCTGGGGACTGCGGCTACTGCCCCAGGTCCAGCTGGGTGGCGGCGAAGCCCCCGGGCCGTGCTCAGGCCGGCCCTTGGGCAGTTTTACGCGCCGTTGGGGGCAGATCGCCACCGGAGAGGCGGGCAATCGGCAGCTTAACATGCCGGCCGGCCAGCCGCCGCCGATACCGGCCCCTCGACCGCGGCGGGTGCATCCCCCGGGGCTGGTAAAGTACCGCCGGCGCGTGCATTCGGTGACCGAGGCACGCTTGATGCACCGCCGCCGTCGCCGCCGCCGCCGCCGCTGCTGCCGCTGCCGCTCCCTCCGCCACGTCCGGCGGAACTGATAACGCGCATAATGGTGTGGAAACATTCGCCTGCGTGCGGCAGCCGCTCCGAATGAGCGAAGAAAATGCACGCGGGCGGTGATGGCGACGACAATGGAGAGAGGGAAGACCTGGTGTGTGCGACGGCCCGCTGCGCCTGGCGCGCAATCAACGCGGGCTCAGCGCGGTGTGGCTGGGCGGCGGCCACCGGGGTCGGATATCGTGACAACGACGCGACGGTTGTGTTAACGATCCCCGGCTGATGGCCGTGTGATCTACATGCTCGCTGCCGACCAGGTTCTGATTGCGTTGTAACGAACCGACTGGATTTGGGAGGATCATTGGGGTGCTGGGAAGCTGAGCCAGGACTTTTTGAAGATGCCGCTCGTGCATGCGTAACGACACCTGGTAAGCTTCCAGAGCGATCAGCTGTAAGGCCAATGAAACGGCGGGAGACAGACTGGCTGAAGCTTGCTATGTCTTCGCTCGCATTGTCACAGAGGATGCTCGCCATGGTCTCATGGATGCTTTCCTCACCATGAACTCTGGGACATGGCATAGGTTGCGAGGGTGTTTGCATTGACCCCGCCTTTGGATGCCTTTATCATCACATATATGGCGTTGCTCAGATTTTCTTTTAAAAGCCTGGACATCAATGCACAGGCCCCTGGCAGAGATGAAGATCGCGGAAAGTTAACCCCAGGCGAAGGTGCTCTGTTTACACCCAGCGCTACTGTATTATGACAAAAATATCCACCTGCCTATATATGTGATGATGTCTCACTTATATGCTAGTACCAGCTGATGGAGGTAATGACAGAATAGCCAGATGCAGTGTCTCACTAAGGCGATTATCTGCTTCAAATCCCTGAGAGGAGGTTTTATCTGTCAGACCACACACAATTTGTGACAGACATGCTGCGGTAGGAGTGATATAAATTTGCCAGGATAGCCTGGGAGATCAAGTGTTTCCTTTCAGCACAAGCCCCCTCCCCCTCAGGCTCAAAGTATGTAATTACTGGGATGAATGAAGTCTTTCAAAGATATGGAAAATGACACCCACGAATACCATTTGTTTCCCAAACGTTCTCGCCCGAAATATATGCAACGTTAAAGCAAACGCATCTTAGACGTTCCACTTGTCACACATCTGCAAACAAACGTTGAGAAGCATTGTGTCTGTAAAACATGCTTTGGGTGACTAATGATATTGCCATGAAAGCTTCCACTTTGATGTTTTCTAGGCCGAGCCGGGAATAGCGATTCCAAGAGGACCGTTTTTAACCAAAATTGCATACCGCCGCAGAAACCTTGTCACTCTTGTGTATTCTCCCTCCGCCGCGCTGTTATGAACAAAACGCTGTCATAAACCTGTCTGCCAAGTTAAGCCCCTACCACTATGTGGCCTTTAGTCCCAAAGGGTCCACACATTTAAGTTACAACTTCGCAGGCTGAAAGCGTAAGGAGGCGCCGGTCAACAGCACATACGCGATATTTAACATTTTCGAACTCAAACACAATCTTGCGGTAGACCCTTACAATTAACAATGTACTGAAGAGGCATTATTTTTTGGCCGAAAGTTTCGGCCGAACGGAAACACTAGTAAACTTGTTGACACACGGCATTACAAAGTCTGGAACACGTCATTCGAGCTCTAAGGGTGTTATGTGGTGAGCGTCTCTCTGTCTCTGTCTCTGTCTCTGCCTCTGTCTTTGTCTCTGTCTCTGTCTCTGTCTCTGTCTCCGTCTCCGTCTCCGTCTCCGTCTCCGTCTCCGTCTCCGTCTCCGTCTCCGTCTCCGCCTCCGCCTGTCTCTCTCTTCTCTCTCTCTCTCTCTCTCTCTCTCTCTCTCTCTCTCTCTCTCTCTCTCTCTCTCTCTCTCTCTCTCTCTCTCTCTCTCTCTCTCTCTCTCTCTCTCTCTCTCTCTCTCTCTCTCTCTCTCTCTCTCTCTTGCTGTCATCCCCCCCTCTCTCCCTCTCTTGCTGTCACCCCCTCTCTCTCTCTTTCTTTTGTTGTGACCCTCTCTCGTCTCCTCTGCAAACCGTGCACTTCCCCTGAAGCCAACCCGTGGAGCCGATAATGCATGCCTCTCATTGCTACCATTCGCACGCTTGACGTACAGTTGGGTTCTGCCAAAAGGTGTTCACCGATTAGCGGCAGCGTTTGTCTTGTCCCACGTTTTGGCAGTTCTCTTCACATGTGACTTGTGGTAGGTCACCACCAAGGTGTGGCTAGCTCGAGTCATACATCATCTTTCAACGCTCACACGCCAGTCTGGCCTCAGCCCAAGTTCTCTCATCAGTTCAACTTTTTTTGTTGGTGACAGCGGAGCTCTTTTGTTTGAATTGAGCAATGCATCTCCTGCTGGATTAAATGGCAGAGACCAGCGGCATCAAGAAACCCCAAGTTTCCTGTGGGAAAACAACATCCGTCGACAATCTACTTCGCAGCGGAACGGCCCCATATAACTGAAAGGAATTTACTATCTCTTGCATAGTCCGAGTCTACCTCATTCATTTCTGGAAAACATCGCTAAAAGTAAACAAACGTCTCTCGAAAACAACTGCTTGCCACACTTTACGAAGGGGCGCAGAAAACCACCAGGCCTGCCGCGCCGTAAAGCCAGTCGCCGGCGGCATTGCTCACGACGAGCCCGAAGGCAGCGTCTCGTAACATCGCAAACAATGCCGGAGGACGGCACGTGATGTCGCACAACTGGGGACTCCCGCGGACGGTGGTAAAACTCTGCAGCTCGCCGGCGGCTTTCATTACGGTAACGGCCGGCGCAGCGGCTGCCGACGGAGCACGCCAGGTCACGTGACCCGGCCGTCACGAAACGCGACGGCGTTTTCGGTGCCGTTTCCACGCGGCGGCGATGACAAATGGCGGCCGACACGTCACCGGGCGGGCGGGGAGGGGGGGGGGGGGCGTGAGGGGGACACGTGGGGCCGCGGGGAGCAGACAGCTGGCGGCTGCGGCACAATGGTCGCCCTGTGTCGCCGCTCGGCAGCCGCCGCCGCAGCTCAGGTGCCAGCATCGACCAGTGGAGCGGTCGCCGGGGATGGGACGGTGCATGCGAGCCGGCGAACGGCGCTAACGTCGCCGCCGACGGAGGCGCCGACGCGTCGCGGCCGGCGGGGAGGGACGGGCAGGGTTCCCGACGGACGTGGGGTCGGAGAGTCCCCAAATGGCGATGCGGGCAGGTACTCATGTGGGAGGAGCCTCGCTGCAAAGTGGTGGTGTAGCAGACGTGACGCAGCCTGGGTTGTTGCTAGGCTCTGATTTAGCCCTGGCGTGGCGCAATAAGTGGGTGTGCGAGATATATGCGAACCGGGCTGCCACAAAAGGTCATTGCTTGCGTCAACTCTGCTCTGGTAACTTGAGCTCTATGAGAAATGCAGTCTCGCGGACGTCTCAGATACGGCACACGGCTCTGCCATCTGTTCTTGCCCAGGACAGCTTGGGTCGAGACAGCCATCGACGCCACACGCCGCTGTCCGTCCCGGGGAACATGTATTTGAACATTTGACGGCCGAGCAGCGAGCCAGCACAACAGGTAGGAGCACCATGGAGCACGTGCCTGAGCGAGATGAAGCTCCTTTCAGGCCCAGACACGACCCGCCCCTGCTGGACACCCGGCACCCGTACAGGTCGTGTAGTCGCACGGAATCGATGATTTGTCTGCCGGATCAGCGCGGCGAGTGCGCCTGAGCTGTGGCGACGATAACCCCGAGATATCAAACAGTGACGCGTGCGAAGGCAGGTGTCCATGAACTCCACAAGGAGTTAGCGAAGGCAGGTGTCCATTTACTCCACAAGGAGTTAACAAAGGCAGGTGTCCATTTACTCCACAAGGAGCTAGCCAAGTGACAAAGACACAAACATCAACTATCAGGCAACCTACGAGGCTAAAAAACATACGAAATAGTGATACAGCCACCATGTTGAAAGGTAATCTAACTGTAAGGCTAATCTAACACGATGAATCAACGAAAGCATAAAAAGAAAAAAAATACACTGCGCTGTGATGAACAATCTTCAGATACAGTTTGTTCCTAAACCGATCGCTACAGTAACACAGAACCCCTACTTAAGCACCTACACGTGGCCGCAATGCGCGTATCAGATTTACTACTTGGTCATAGCAGTCATCAACTATTGCCGACCAGCACGCATTTCACTGACCTGTCTAAAAGTTTGTCGCATTATTGGAGCGGAGCCAAATGCATTACCAGGCTTTGCAAAAATGGAGAAGTCCGTTGCTAATGACAACCATTTTAGTGGTGTCCAATTACTAAGTAGGAAATCATGCCTTCTCAGCTATCGTCGAGAAGTCCGTAAACGCCGAGATTGATTTCGAGGGAAATCACATTATGTTGCAAAGTATGAAAGCCTTCTGTTTTCACATGCCTCTTGGTATAGCTTCGCTCATAAGGAACACCACTAATGACGGCAAATCATACAGTTTCCATGTCCTGAAGCCGCCTTGCTTCGTCGTATCGAATGATAACATTCATCCTGCAATCGGGCTCCGCAGGCTTAAATGACGCGACAAAACACCCAAACTGCCCACGACACGGCGCTGACAGCCCATCTTCACGTTGCCTCTCTCATTCAGCTCCCCTATCTTCCCCATTCTCCCCTTCTTCCCCTTCTTCCCTGGTTCCCGCTCTTCCCGTCACGGCTGCTAAGAAAATCTCCAAAACATTTTTTTTCTGGCGACTCACGTCTACTTGCCGTAATTCTTCTCTTCGCTCTTGAGCGCCGAATGCAGGCAGAGCGTGAACATGACCATGAGGATCTGGAAGAAGCAAAGGAAGAGCGAGATACCAGCGATCCAGCCTGTCTTGATCTGCAGCATGAAGGTGATCTCCTGGGAGCAGCTGTTGGCCCACTCGTTGCCCTGGACGGGGTCGCGGCAGGTGTTGGGTGTGGGGATGTGCCACTGTTGGTAGTCGCCCGACCCGTTCCCGCCGCAGCAGCCCACGTACTCCTGCGGACGGGCGGGCTGTCAGAGGCGGCGGCAGGGTGGGAGGTGGGGAGTCACAACAGCCCACGTACTCCTGCGGACTGAGCAAGCTGTCAGAGGCGCCGGCAGGGTGGGGAGTGGGGAGTGAGGGTCATTACAGCCCACGTACTCCTGAGGACGGGCGGGCTATCAGAGGCGGCGGTAGGGTGGGAAGTGGGGAGTCACAACAGCCCACGTACTTCTGCGGACTGGGCACGCCGTCGGAGGCGCCGGCAGGGTGGGGAGTGGGGGGTTACAACAGCCTACGTGCTCCTGTAGACGTGCAGGCTGTCAGACGCGGCGGTAGAGTGCGACTGAAGATATTGTTATCTACACCCGCCAAGCTTGCAAAAAAGGGTGATACCTGAGACGACAGTGGAGCTTCACCGCTCCTCTTCCAAAAAAAAGCCGCTGGACGATTAAAGACGCCTTGCGCATTCCTTGCGGAGCTCCTCAGATAACCCGTGGTCGCCGAAACAAGCTGTTGCCAACGACGGCAAAATAGTCGATGATGATAATGATGATGATTGGATGTTAGGGCACGCAGACTTCTGAAGTCATTTGCCGCCCGCTCCAAAGGTCGAACGTGTCGCTTTTCATTTTGGTTAGACGTACGCATTATTGCTGCATTAAAGTTAGAGAATTCCTTACACTTTGCCAATGCTGAGGCCATGCACGCATGCTGAAGGCCAGGCTAGAAACGCACTGTTTAGCATACAAGATCACAACCAACCCTTTTTAACAATAAGCAAAGCGTAAACATAAAGCCACTTCAATTCAGGCATGATTTATGCCACAGTTGTTGAAGCCCCAGACGTCAGCTGGCTCCACACCCAGCATCGATTCCGCGCGGCACGCGCGTACTTGGGGTTCTCGGTCTGCCCGCCTGGCACTGACACGTGTAAGTTATATGTGGTCGAGTGTCAACCCCAGGCACCGACAGCGGGTAAGTTTTGCAGGTTAATGGTTCCGAGTCAACTTTTCAGGCGGCCAAGAGCGGTTCGGAGAAATGGCTTGAAGACACTGGAACAAATAATGATAAGATTGCGATCTGTAGTCCAAAATATTGACGTCTCATATTGGAATTATTGTGTTGTTTGTGTGCAGATTGATCTCAGAATTATGGAAGCAGTGGTCTCAACTATTCGGTGGAAAGCTGCACATGAAGGTCCAGGCGTATACCACTGCAGCATTTAACATTGCCTGGGTGGTAATCACAGTTTGCAAGCCTCAGGGCGCCTCTTTTACAGAGCAAATAAATCGCGTCCTTCAATCACACCCTCATAAAAATGCGACATCCAAAACCGATGTTTGTGTTTTGGGAAAACAGCTCTCGTTCCGGCGCTGCCAAAGTATGCTGCACATCTGTGGTTTAAGACTCTTGCAAATGATGCAGAGTTTGATACTGCAATCCACTTTGTGGCCATGGGATGAGCTATGTGTGGATGACACGCAAATGGATACGCCCTTTAGCATACACGACAGCGCTCTCAGACCCGAACCACGCGAAACAAGCTAATTAATGAGCGGACCCTCCACTACGCCCATCGCCCTGCAAAGGTCAGCTGGTGGCTCGGCACGTGGCGCCAGCGTCAACTCTCCCACCGCCTGCTGCACTCTCGTCTATCAGGCCGAGCCAGTCGAATCTGGAAAGCATCGCAAACTGTTGCCAACATCGGTACCAGTTACTCAACCTTCGGGCCGGAATTCAATCGATTGTACTGGTACCGGTACAGTGCCGGTACAGTGGCAGATTTTGCAGCTTTCTCGCCTTTAATCAGGCACTCAGTGCACCCTTTCACCGAGCTGCGCACGGTAATCTCCATAAGGACAGCCGGACCGCGAGAGTCGGACCGAAGGAGCTCCACTCCGGCGACGGCTGTCGCCAACCACCTCACTGCGCGCCTCACACCACTCACCTCACTTCTATATTCTCATCAGTCAGCTCACTGGTCGGTTCTCGCACCCATCTCACCGCACATTTGGCACCCACCGCCCAGCTCACCGCACGTCTGTCACCACCCACCTCATCGCACGCCTCTCACCACCCAGCTCACCGCAGGCCCCTCACCATCCAGCTCACCGCACGTCCCTCACCACCCATCTCACTGCGCGCCTCTCACCACCCAGCTCACCGCACGCTCTCACCACCCAGCTCACCGCATGCCTCTCACCACCCAGCTCACCGCGCACTCTCACCACCCAGCTCACCGCACGCCTCTCACCTGAATCATGTCGAGCACCCAGCGCGCGTTCTTGTCAGTCTGGTAGCGCGCCACCATGCCGGTCAGCTGGTTCTGTAGCCACGGATAGATCTTGGAGTGGTAGATGCCATTGCTCAGAGTGTATGTGGCACCGGCCATCTCGAAGATGAAGCAGAACACCAGAAGCAGGCAGAAGACCTGTCCGAGCACGACATCAGGCCCCCGCGCTACTGGTGGCGGCCACGACCACTGAGGTCGGCGACCATGGCTGTTGGGAGGACCTCCGCGAGCAGAGAGCGAGATGGTCTTTGAAGTTATGTGAAATGCATGGCGGAATCGATGTTCACAGCAGCAAAGCAGTGGAAACCCGGCATGCAAAACAGGAAGGCGTCTCATGAGAAGGACGTGGAGATGGATAACACCATCATAGATAGCTGGGATACATAACGGCGTGTGCCAACGTTATGACTCATGCTATTCCGATGCGCACATGCATCTTGTTGCAGCCATACTGCACAACTCCAAATAAAACCAAAACGACAGCACTGTCTTCGCGCATCATCGATGAGGCGTCAGCTTGACCGCAACGAAACACACAGACCACACCGTTGACCGCAGTTTGTCACGAGCCTCCAGCTGCAACTGCGGTGACTCGACCACCGACCTTGAGCATCCAGCGTGCTTCGGTGACGGCGCCGCAGCAGCCGAAGAAGGAGACGATCATGACGATAAGACCGATCATCATCAGGATGTAGATGCCCGTCCAGTAGTGCTGCATGCCCAGGCCGCGAACCCATTTCTGGAAATCCTCATCAAACCGGATCCAGAGGCCCAGCGCGAAGATGATGGCACCCATCAGCTGTGGGCGTGATGGAGAAGGTGATGACGGGCCGGGGTTCAAGCATTGCCCCTAGCTGCTGGTCGAGCGATATCATCAACTGTGGACGTGAAGGAGAGGGTAGTGAGGCTCTGAGGTTAAGACAGCAGGCCCAGTACATGTTGTTGACGTGATGCTGAGGTTGATAGCGTTCTGAGGTTTGGGCAGTGAAGCAGATATGTGGGTTTGTATTTCCAGAAGTGCCAGCTGATGTCTTTATCGGTAGGCGCTAAACAATTTCCGACCCAGCCGTGGATGAGCCTCAGACGAAGCCTCAGCGAACAAGTAACAAAGTAAGGGGCTACTCCGAGGGGACCGACAGCAAGGCGATGTTTGCATCAACTAGTAATAACATCAAGGCTCACATAAGGCTAGTGGTTCAGTATGGATGCGGCCGGACCCCGTTCAGACGTGCCTGACATCGTAGGCTTGGCGCAAAGTTAGCAGCAGACACCGTCGAAGCTGCTCCCTGACCTCTCGCTTAAAGCGCTCGCTGACCTCTCGCCACTGCAGACGATTGGTCCACAAAGCACCCGCTCACTTCTCTCGTTAAGGGGGCGACCGACCTTCATTGGCTCAACAAACACAAACTTGCGCCGTTGAAGCCTACGTACGCCCGGACGCGCAAATGGGCTCAGACAGCGAGCTTGGGCACCCGGCGGTCCGCCGGTGGCTGCTGTGTTGCCTCGTGTCCGGTGGCTTCGTGATGACGAGCCACAGCTGCTCGAAGAGTATCCAACAGCTCAAGAGGCAGGAGTAGGGACTTACCACGGGGTGCGTAACTTTTGCCATAACTCTCCGCGGGATGGGACCGGGGCTGGGTCGAGAGCTTACGCCCACTTGGGGAATAACGGCAGTCAGATGCCATCGACAGTTTTCTGCTAACCGTCTGCAGCGAGCGGGCCTGACGAAAGCAGGCCATGCATCGGCGTGGCCTGCACGCCCTCTTCCCGCCCCCGCCCCCCCCCCCCCCCCCCCCATAGCACGGTTTAGAACCAGTGCAGAAAGCAGTCGGGACAGTAGCGGCGGGAAAATCCGCCGCACACATTGACGAGGCAGTCCGCCCTAACCATTCTTCCGCACAATAATCCACCACAACTAGCATGCCCGAAGGCAGTCTACCACTACCGAACGGCGTGGCTTCCGTCCACCACCAGAAGTCTACCGCCTGACGGTCCGCCGCAGCTGTTGATAAAAGAACAGTCACTCTGTTTCGACTCGACGCTCTTCACCCAGTCTGTACCATGACGTCTGGGTGCTGATACGAGTACCGCAGCGGTAGTAGTAACAACCAGAGCTACGGGAAGGTATATGCCGCCGCGTGCAAAACGGTGCAAGTCGCCCACTAAATAAAAAACTGCCCGCAGGCATTCCGCCACAGCTACCTAAGTCGGCAGATAGGCCACAAAATAACTGATATTATATTCAAACAACTGTGGGGAATACCACCACAGCCAGGCTTCCCTGAAACATTTCAACCTAATCAGACCTGGGCGAGACACCCCAGCAGACTTGCGCTTAGAGCATGACTTCCTGGTAGCATTCCATCTAGGCCAGACCTCCTTGTGGTATTCCATGAGGGTCAGACCTGTTGGTAATATTTCATCAGACCAGATTTGCTCCTTACATTCCATCCTGGCTAGACCTCCTCGTGACGTTCCGTGAGGCTAGATCTCCTTGTGACATTCCTTGGGGCCAGACCTGCTCGTGACATTCCACCAGGCCAGACCTGCCCGTGACATTCCACCAGGCCAGACCTGCTCGTGACATTCCACCAGGCCAGGCCGCCCGTGGCATTCCTCCGCGGCCGGGTGACGCCCCGCGTTCCGGCCGGAGACGGCGGCCGCGGGCGCCGCGTCACAGCGAGGCAGGTCTGTTTATGCAGCAGGGGGCGGCGTAATGAAGCCCCGAGTGTCGCCGTAGAGGGCGGCCTCGCTGCCCGGCCGGCCGGCGCGGCGGCCTGATTAAACCGCAGTTAGCCGCGCGCCTGTCGCAGAGTCACCGCTGCCACACGTCCCCGGGGCTGAGCCATGCCGCAGCGCACGAGATTGCGGGCGCCGCGCTCGGAGAGATGTGGAAGGGAGGGTTAAGTTCACGGGACAGCTTGAGTGTTCGTTTGCGCATGGGGCTGGTTATGTGACGCAGGCATGCATTAAGCATGAAATTGCGGAATAGTTCATGTGGTTTGAAGCAGGCCCCAACGAAGTTAGTCGGTGGCACTTCCTCTCGATGGTGAATTCCTCAAACCAGCCTAGGGTTCGCATCATTAAGGCATGCTTTTCGGAGGTTTCTGGGTTTAATTGAAGGCCATCGATTAAGATGAGCCCGGCACTAAAAGATGATTCAGTACCTTGCGCAGATATATCCACCTTCTTTTTTCTCAAGGAGCTTAACTCGCACGACGCGACGGACCCAGGGTTTCCTGCACGGTACGTTGTGAGTACTACTTCTTTCGAGGCACGTGTATTGGTTTCGGTGGCATGGTCGTCAATGCGTCACGTCCATAACTGAGATGTCGCGTGTTGGCGTCTGGGCCTGCCTAGGATTTATCTACCAGCTTCCTTTGGGGCGTGCTAAATTGCTTGCCTCGGGGCATCTATGAGTACGTTGTGTTTTTCTATTTTAAGCCACAACCCCGTAGTTACGCACTAGTTACATTATGCAAAAAAAAAAAAACGCTCTCCCCAGGTTAAGCTGCGTTAAGCGCAGTGAAGGCGGAGCCCCTGTGGTGATGTGGAGAACGTATTTGTGTCTCGACTTTTCCAGACACTCCCATAGGGTTCGTGTTTATCGTTATCCGGAGTAAGGGGCGGGTTTAGGGGAAGGGCGGCTGCCCCCTGCTCCTCATTCCACCGCCCCTGATTAAGCGGAGCGTTCCAAAAAGGTTACACCCGCTTAGCCCCTAAGTGAGCTAGAAGTGCAAAACAAAGGCAGGTTTATTGTTGGTTATGGGAGGAAGCCAACTGCATCTGGTATTGAGGTTCGCAGACATTTAGAAATACTTCAGCATGACTGGTAGCAACACCTGAGCGTAGCATTACGATGTCCGACCTCCCCCAACCCCTTATTACACTTTGGTCATGCCGCTCCATCCACCCCTTCCTCCTCAACAAGTAATGCTATATATGGACGGTCCTTGATATATGCCTCAATATATGTACAGCATTCATTTCCTTGGGATAATTCTGAGCATAACATCAGCTTGAACTCATTGCATTGCAATGCATTCGCAATCAAAGTGTCTGCGCTAGCCTGCATTAATTAGAAGTTGCCTTAGATTTAGTACCATCTGAAATTCCAAACACATTATTGCCCATCCAGCCGATTTCTGATATTACACGGGGACGTACTACTAGATTCCGGTGTACTTTCCACTCTGATCTCCTATTGTACTGATTTGATATCGTTCGAGGCGTTTGGAGGTGGCGATTTTTCAACTTCTCACTGTGCAGTGCACGCAAGGCTGCTGTAAGTTAGGTATCGCTGGTAGCATCGAGTACACGATCGCGGTGATAACATATTCAATAACTCTCGCAAGCATCGAAGGAGTGCATTGAAGCAAAAGAGAATGCAACCGCCTACCCCATCCGACTTACACTAACAGTTCTAAGCCTAGCATTCACAACATGGCGGTGACGCGCCGGCTCGAGGTTGTCTGCAAGCATCGCTATCAACAGGACGACGACTTCGGAAACATCGCAGCCGCAAGGAATAGCAATTCGAAGAAAAATGCAAAAATATACACTGGTTTATCACAGGCACCTCCCCCATCGAAACTGCACAAATAACAAAACTCCGAACGTTAGTCGCGGCCGGCGAGACGCCATCTTTGTTCTTACCCATGACAAGAAATTGAAGGCGAAGATGGTGTACTTCAGGCAAATGATGGTCTCCTCCTGCGGCCCCACGTAGTTGCCTTTGCCGGGCATGGTGTTGGGCTGTTGAAGCTCGCCTTATTGCACCAGAATCCTGCAATTGCAGCGATGTCACCAATGAGCACACCTCTGTCGGTCACCAATGCGGCCTGGTCTGTTCGAACCGCCGCCGGTATCGTTATCTGGACGCCTGGCTCACGCACGCTATCAGGAGGCGGGCGGCGCCGGACGGGCGATAACTCGGCTGATAGCATCCGTCCTGCCCGAGCTCTAGGCTGAGTTGTCCCCGTTCGCTCCGGCACCCCTCTGTCCATCGCACAAAGCCCCGTCGGGCATATCTTATCGGTAGCCGCGTCGAAAGCTATCCCGGCCGTCGAACAAACCACGCGTTACTCATGCCCGCCCAACGACGCCATAGGTGTCGGATCTCGTTCGTGCACCGCGACCTGCGGTATAGATCCTTGTAAACTGCCAGATAAACCTGACGCATATGAGCGCATGATTTAGCTTATGAGCGTTCGTAACGGCGGAGCGTCCGCCGTCGCCCATATCAATTTGCAGGGAGAGGGGCCGGCTGGCGGGGCCACTCGCCACCTCCGCAGCATCACCCGGCAACAATGCGGCCGCACCCCCGTCGGCGGAGTCGGGGGTGCTCGCAGCGCGCCCGCCGGCCGCCTCCGGACCAGGCCCGCCCACCCGTCCGCTGCTTACGATAACAGGATGAGGCGTAGCAGTTAGCGGAGGCCGCCGCCTCGCCGGCCGAGCAACGTGGCCTCTTCAGCCTGCCGGCGCCGGTCGAATCGGGCCCGAACGAGCGCATAGCATCGGCGGCGGCGGCGGTCGCGGGTCGGTGCAGGCCCGCGGAGCGTCCCGCGCGCCAACGACCCGTCGCCGGGCGGCCGCGGGCGGGCATTGCCCGGCCAGGCACGTCGTGCAACTGCAAGGCGCGAAGACTAATGCGATTAATAACACTTTTGAGTCCCGCAGCGCTGGCCTCTGCGCTAAATTAGAGAGCAGGCGGCGCGGGAGGGGATAATTCCTGTATCAGCCGGCCGGCGTGATGGCACATGGGTAATTTTACTCGGCACTTATCATTAGGGAGACAAGCCAGGCACGCTGCGGGCTGGCCGGCCGGCTACCTTGACACGACGCCGCCGGGCCAGCCGGCGCCAGTCAAGTCCTCGGCGCGCGTGTGTAGTGCGCGCTCATTGCGGCGCGGCCGGGTCGCCCCCGGCGCACTGCACACCTGGCGCGGACGCGTGCGCTGAGTTACGGCACACCGCGCCGGGATTGAGATGTCAGGCGCGCGGGCCGTACCGGGCCGGCGGGGCCGCCTTTTTCGGCGCGGCTCCGGCGCAGCGAGCGGACGGCTCGTAACTCTGTCGGCTGGCGCCGCCGACGGCCACCAGGCGTCAGCTGATGACCGACGCTGTGTGACTACCAATATGGCCGGTCAGCGGCCCACCCGGACCGCATGGGAGTGGATGGTGGTGTGTCGCTCGTCAGAGGACTCTTAAAAATCGAAAAGCGTCGGCGATCTGGAAAGGGGCTGATGCTGCAGATGACAGGCTACCCCATTTTGTGTTCAGTCCAGAGAGCAAACAACCGCTATGCTCACAGAAGCCTGCCATTGTCTCGTCCGTAGGAGCGGTCAGAGAACAGGAGCAGCGAGTGCTAAGAGAACAGGGCAGTGAGCAAACCATAAGCGTCGTAGCCTTCACGGCGATTCTCGCCAGGATCAGTTGAAATATGCATCAGGCACGGGTCACCCCGGGACCCTCTGAAACACGCAGTCACACGCGCACGAGCCGAACCGGCGTCCAGTCCCCAGCGCTCTCCGGAGGCGCCGCCGCCGTTCGAGCTGCCCGGCCGATGAGCCTGTTTGGATGATGGGGACAGCCGACTGGCGTGGTGAGCGGCGATAAGGAACTAATAAAACTCGCCAGTTTGATAGGCCTGTGGTGATGACCTTGCCTGGGGCCAGCATCAAAACGGGACGCTGATGACTGCGCTCAGAAGCTGTTTACAAATGGGAGCTCGGCCAGCCGAGTTTCAAAGGCCGGCTGCTACGTATGTTATTGCGTTGGAAATTACTTCTTCGATCGCCGCCTTCCGCTACTGGGCGATTTCATTCATGACGCGGTGTTGTTCGAGCAGGCTTACGGTGCATGCTGTCACTGCTTTGCTCACGTGTTCACATCCCATGAGCACGTGATTACCAGCATTAGGGATTCCACACATGAGAGAAATATACATTCGAAACAATATTCTGCTCCACTGCATGCTTCACCATCTTCCTCTCCACAACAATTACCCTTGAAATCGGTTACCATAAACATGACGGTAATATTTATACCATGCATCTCCTGTTAGTAACACGAATGCATAATTCAGAAACATCAGGGTGGCTAATGCAAGAATAATAAACCCTCCAGAATCGTCCGCTTCAGCTTGATACGATGCAGGGGTAATCTTTATGAACAGGATGTGAACCATAGGAGCTAAGAGATGTGCCCCTCCCTCACAGTACCAGAGCTGTGAATCTCACGATCTCCGTCTAGAGATGTCGTGAATAGGCAATTGAACGCTGCTTCTCTCGAGGCCCCATTGTCTGAGCTGGGTCGCTGTCTGCTGTTGCGTGTCTGTTGCGTGTCTCACTGCAGCGCCACGATGTGAAGACCATCGTGAGACCCTAGTCGGCAAGTTTCGTGGATCATGCGTCAAAATATACTCTGTAACCAATAGTTGAACGTTTCGTTGCTTTAAATTCTACAACGACCAGGAGAATGCTACAAGTACATCCCATATATATATATAATATATATATATATATATATATATATATATATATATATATATATATATATATGTATGTATATCATTGTGAACATAAGTTTTTGGGCTAACTAGAATGATGCCAAATGCCGATAGCAATATCACTTAGACACAGAGAGTCCCGAGTTCTTCCCGTCATGTGTTCTGTGTTATGTACAAAGGCCAAGTGCATGATATTATTCGATGATTAATTCATGAAAGACGGATGGAAAGAGCTGTAAGCTCTTGCCCATAAATGAGGCAAACATCGCCACAATATGCGTTTATACCTTGGAGGTTGCGAGAAATTCTACCAACGAGCAAACACTGTCTGTAGCCACGGCACTCAATAGACAATGAAAACGAAGATGCATCCGTTTCCAATGGCATGCAAACCTGATCACTGCCCATCATGCGGAACCAAAAACTGGCTTCGTCAAATGTATGGAGATTGTATTGCATTTCTTACGATCGTTCTGAAGGTTTACGGATGTTTTTCCTCCCCTCTGTGAAAGTGACCTGTCGTTTAGTTCACTTCCTGTGCACAGCAAAACGCTAAGGCCGCGGATGGCACACGCATATTGATGGAGATGGTCTCATGCCGGTACCAGGCCCCTCCCCTTCCCCTCCCCCTGCACCGGACCACACGGAGCGCGCCGACATTGCCGCACTACGCACTACTGCCGAGTTCCCAAGGCGGACCAGTCGTGGTGTCGACACACCACGGCGCCGAGAAGAGTCGCTAACCGCCTTAGGCATGTAGTCAGCACTACATGGCTAAGGCGGTTAGCAGACTGCTGGCAACATAGGCATGCTGGCTGGCTGGTGACTGCGACGCCAATCATGACATGAGCTGCCGGTGGCCGGTGGCCATGCATTCGGCGGCTCTTCGCCCTCGGGACCGTCATCTCACGTCCCGACAGCCGGAGCCGTCATATCACGTCCCGACAGCCGGAGCCGTCATCTCACGTCCCGACAGCCGGAGCCGTCATATCACGTCCCGACAGCCGAGGCCGTCATCTCACGTCCCGACAGCGGGGGGGGGGGGGGGGCGTCATTTAACGTCCCGACAGTCGAGGCCGTCATCTCACGTCCCGACAGCGGGGGGGGGGGGGCGTCATTTCACGTCCCGACAGTCGAGGCCGTCATTTCACGTCTAGACAGTGGGGGGCCGTCATTTCACGTCCCGACAGCCGGAGCCGTCATTTCACATCCCGACCTGAGGCCGAGACGCTCCCACCTCCCGCACAGGCGCCACGCGGCCGTCTCCAGCTGGGAGCATCACCGCCGCCTCCCACGCCCGGGGCCGGAGGCCGCGAGTCGGGCGGACCCGGTGGGGCTGATTACCGACGATCGGCGCCCCCTGGCGGCGGGCCGCGTCACACGGCGGCCACCGACGGCTCAATCGCCGGAGCGCCTTTGTGACGCCGCGCCGTAATTGTCGTAATGGCGCCGCGGCGACCGGCGGCGAATTAGACCGGTGGACGTGCAGCTCCGGAGAGGCCGGCAGCGCGAACCGAGCCGTACCCTCCCGGGACAGGTCGGCCAGCGTCCTGACGTACAAAGAGCGACTCGTGTGACCACCGGCGACCCGTGCAGGGCGCTCCGCTTTATGAGTGATTAGCTTAATTGACGAGGCTGTATTCTCGGCAGCGCCTCGGCGCCGGACCGGTTATCGCGCGGAGGCTCGCCGCCGGTCCGCACGACCACTCATTCAACATGTCATCGGTCGGAAAGTAAACCACGAAACCGTCGTAAAGCCGATTCCGACTGTTTTGCCCGCTTCTAATTGGCTCATTAATTGTGGCTGGCGAATTATGAGAAGGGTGTGTCGTAAATCGAGGCCACGCAGCGGCTGGCTGTGTCACCTGGCTATCCTGGCCGCCATTTTCGACGCGGTTGCGCCGGGAACACTCGGGACGGGTCAACGACTCTGGGCCCGTGGGAAGACAAATCGCCGCGGCCGAAGGGATTTGCGGCAATCTCATCATGCACACCGGCCGCTGAGATGGTCAGGCCACGAGGTATTGACTTAGCCGCCGGGTGTTATCTCATTCGAGGTGCCAGGACCGGAGTACGTGCCGTGTCTTCGAAATCAACCCCGCGGGGACGAGCGGTCGCCAGCGCTTCAGGCGAAATCTCCTGACAGGCCCGAGGGAATGGCTTCCACCAATACCCCAGGGAATCACTTCTGCTAACTCTTGGCGTAACGGCTCCTTGAAAATATAAGCTCCAGAGAGGTCTGTATGTGCATTTTCCCGACGATGGTCGCAGAGTTGGTGACTAGGTCACGATTACGCCTCAATGGACGGAGGGACAGGAATGACAGGGATGACAAG